CCCACAAACTGCCATCCTTATATGAACATTTTTCAGCTCTGCCAAGTCACCTGCCTAATGATTGGTTTTGAACTTTTTTACTTTCTTTTCTTCTTTGTTCTTTGTTCTCCCTCTCCCTATTTCCTATGTCTCTATTTATCTCAAGTTGAACTATCGATATAATTCTTGCAGCACTTCTCTAAAAAAATTCACATAAAATGTAATAAAAGTGAAAATTTGAGGAAACATTCTTACCTGAGGATAGCCTACTATGAAATTGGTTCTTAGAAGTGATCGTTCACGTATGAGTGATTTCTCACGAGTTTCAGTTATATCAATCTTGGAAAATGGATGAAACCTTCATACCAAATTCCTCATTTTGCTCAAGAAGACGAAGGCAACTGATTTTGAATGGTAGATGGATTTGGAGATGACAAAATCACGAAGAGAAAATAAGAAGGGTTTGGGGATCATAAGAGAGAAGAAAAATTTTAGATTTAGGATTTTGGGAATTCAATTGATTTGAGAAAAGGGGAAATTACGGTTTCTATTGATGTTGAATAAGTGTATATTAAGTAGTTTATAAATTATGATTTAAAATATTTATTTTAAAAATATTATTCTGGTCAAATGCTAAAATTTCAAAGTGTATTATGAAATAGGCTATTTGACCCAATTAGCACTTGGGATTAATTTGATTTTGAATTTTCAGAGAGAGTTGAAGTATATTAGATATAGGATTTAGTAAAAGGAAATAGAAAAATTATGAGCTGAAGCACGAGTACAGTTCAATATACTCATTCTTGGCCTTTGATTTATTATTATTTAAATTGTATTGTCATGTTACGGGGGTTTTAGATCTGATAATCTTGATAAGAGAGAAGTTCAGCTTATTATTAACTTGGTTCTTATACTCTAGCAATTCATGATTATGTTTCAAATAAATGTACCGGAAAATTTGTAATTTTGCTTAGAGTTAATGTCTTTTTTACTTGTTTTGGGTTAAAAGTTGGTTAAGTAATTTTTCTTTGGAAGATAGAAACTGAAGTCGATGACATATAAGGCCTACTTTGCTACTGTTATTATGTAACTTGCATGATGACATACACATATTCGTATTAGATAATGATGCCGTAAAAGTTCATACTGTAACCTGCATATGGAAGGCCAAAATGTAGCAGCCTTTTCATCAGAAACATAGAAGAGGCTAAGCCAATCTTTCCACTTCAGAGCCTTCTCTGCTTGAGGAGAAAAGATAGTCCCATAACTTACGAGTTGCTTTCTTCACATTGTCCAACACTGTCATTGGTATCCCATGATTGTTAATCTGGAGGAAACCTTCTTTTCTCTGCTGCATTGCATATCATATCTGCCACCACTTGATCATTTGGGTTTGACATGTCGATGACAGGAATCGACTCCTCAGTTAGTATAGTGCTAGTGGAGATCCGTTCTTGAGGATGCATATTGCTTAGGTAATGTTTGAATGCCTATATCAGAAAGACCTTTAACTCCATGATCTTCATGATAACCTAAGAATAACTAACCAAGAGGGGGGGAGGGGGTGAATTGGTTTTTGAAATTTTTTCGATAATTAATCTCAAACTTATTTAATACACAAG